ATGTGTATAATTAGTGTATATAACAACTAATCATGTAAGGTAAACAACCTTAGGTGCTAGGAAACACTTGATATGAAGTGTTACAATCATATGTGATTGTTGAAAGGGTATTCACGGCCACACCATAAGTGTTTACGGCCATAGAGGTGTTTACGGCCACACACATGAAGTGTTTACGGACTAAGGCTTGATCCTATGAAGGGTTTACGACCAAGACTTGATCCCATGAAGGTTTTACGGCCACATCAAGATCTTATGAAGGGATCATGGCCATGGATGAAGGCTTCACAGTCGTGAACTCTTGAAGATCATGCATTTGGGTGTTTATTTTATGGTTGGATTCAAGTGTTTCTAATGTATAACAAGATGATTGAAGAGATGCTCACGTTTTGGAGGACTTTAGGGAGTTTACGGCCCAAAGAACAAGTATGTTCTTGGTGTTCTTGGTGTAAAGGATGATGATTTGAAGATCTAAACCAAAAGTGTTGAATTCATGGATGAAATCAAGGAGCTTCTTGTGAATAAGAAGGATATCAAGTAACAAAGGATGAATCACTTACGATTTTGAAGAGAATGAAGGAATGTGAGATGGGTTCACGGCTAACATGGGTTTTGAGTGTTCTTGACTTAAGGATGTGAGAAATGAAGGAATAATGAAGGAACTTCATACATATAGAGAGTTTTGAGTGTTCTTGACTTAAGGATGTGAGAAATGAAGGAATAATGAAGGAACTTCATACATATAGAGAGGGGTTCACGGCTAACATGGGTTCACGGCCGTGAACCCTAGTTTGCGGCCGTGAACTCCTTGTGAAGGTTCTTCCGGCTCAATTGAAACTCAATGATCTCGAGTTAATACTTCCTAACACACAATCCTTGAGTGTACTAGGCTTAGAACTCTCAAACAGACCCTTGACAAAGCTAAAAGTTATCAGAAACAAGTCTGACTTTTAATAGAATTGATTGGCTTTACAAGATAGAAAAATAAGGGCATGTTATACTTAGTCATACAAATGCACTAAGGTGTCCTTAGAAGATCAACTGTGACATGGTTTTCATAATCATAAGGATGATCATAAAACACGATACTAAAGTACTCTCCCTTCTTTTCAGATTAGAGAAACTTTTATCTTTCTACCTAATTTGATTCTTCTTATTCGTTCTGCCATCCATTGAAAATTTTCCAATGATTCAAAATTACACTTAATCTTGTAAGCATAACCATATTTACTAAATTTCAATAAATCATAACGAATAGTCTTATCGTTCTTTGTGGTGGACCTGATCAGCGCACAACCAAGTGTACTTGATCCCCTAGTCCTTCACTTGACTCACATATACATGTGAATAAGGAATTAGTCTTAATTTCCCAAAGATGAAGGTTCTCATTCATCACACAATACAACTTGCATGATTCCAAGTTTCTATCCAACTGAAACTTGGGTGATGAGAATCTTTCCTTATTAGGTAAATCTTGACACTACCACAAATGAAAGAATCAAATACATTCTTCCAATATTGCTATCAATGGAAACATATAAACAACAATTTTCACAAATGCCATTATAAAGAAACTTAAAATAAAATAAACTTCAAAAAATTTTCTTTATTTATAAAACTATGGAAAAACTTTTCCTTACAATGCAAATACAAATGAAAACTATGTTGTTATCTATTCCTAAGCAATCTATCATAACTCTTAAGCAGCAGCTCAAAATTCTGATAATCGAACCATGCGATTGAAATCCATCTCTTCACGATCAGAATCAACTTACTCTTCCTTTAAGTTTCCTTTCATTTCTTTGATTCTACAAAACATCAAAATGTAATTACATTACATCATGTATTAAGAATCTCTAAATAGGAACTTAATAGAGTTAGACAGTGGACTTTACCTGAAGTAGAGTCAAACTTTTTGACTTTACCATCCTTGCGATCTTTCAAGTAAATATGGAAGCTTCGTAACCAATGCCCCTTCTCTTGGCAATAGAAACATATGGACTCTTTGGGAATGGTACACGGGACTATCTCAGACTTAGCCTTTCTCTTTACCATTTGGTCAAATGACTTGACCATGGCCGATCCCTTTCCATTGGGAAGAGAAAGCTTTTCTGTACTTCCAATGTTACCATTATCAATGTCCATGGAATTTT